TATATTATTATCATTTATATCTACTTTCAATTTATATTTATTCTGTTTTGATTTATATTAATATTAATTTTATCTTTTATACTTTGAATTTATTATTATATCATTGATTATCATTTCTCTATTTATTTATATATCATTTATTCTTATTATTCTTTTGTTTTATATTCTATATCATATATTCATATCATTTTCATTTATATTTTATCACTTATTATATGTTATAATAACATAACACATATGATTGAATATATAATAAACAACATGATGAAATTATACATATAAATAATAAACATAAAAAATAATAAAATATTTTCATTAATAAAATATTACCAATTACTTTGCATCATTAAATTAGACACTTTTATTGAATATTTCTGTTTTTACAATAAAAATACACTTTTTATTTCTTCTTTTCTTCTTTTATTACCTCTTTGTGATTTATTACTTTTTATTTTCTTTCTTCTTCTACTTTCTTTTTATTCTTTTATATCTTTTTATTCTTTTTATATTATTTGTTTTCGTTGTTTTTCTATTTCTTTCTTCTATTATTTATCAAAATTTTATTCATTCTTTTTATTTCTTTTTTATTAGTTCTTTAATATTGTATATCTATTTAATATTTCATTTATATATTATCAAAATATATGTTTTATTGATTTTATGTTGAACAAAATATCAAGTAAATCAATATTTTCAATGTCAAACTTTAATTCTTTAATATGAACTGTTGTTTGTGTTTATTATATTAAATTAATATGATGAATGAATATCAATATTATTGTTTATTTGATTTTAAAAAATAATAAATGAATATGAAATAATAAATGAAATAAAATAATGAAGACAATGAAACGATAATGAAATAGAATAATCTAACCTTGACTAAACTAAATAAAGAATATATTAAATATATCATTATTGTTACTTTATTATTTATTATTTCAATTACTACATATTATTATATTATTATTCATGAATATTTAATTGATATTTTACAATTTCATTTTCATTTTATTTAATAAATGAAATATAAATAATAAATGAATGAATAATAATTTAATATATGAAATAAAAAAAAATGAAAGATAAATAATAAAGAAATATGATGTATTTAATATATAATATAATTTATTATCAAATATAATAATATCAAATAATGATTTATTTTTATTTCAAAATATTTTGCATCAATAAAAAATGTTACTAAATATTTTGCATCATTAAATTTTGCGCTTTTTATTGTACTTTTTTATTTGTTTCAATAAAATTTTTATCCTTTATTTTTTCATTCTTTTCTTCTTTTATCATCTCTTTTGTTTTATTACTCTTTATCTTCTTTCTTTTTATCTTCTCTCCTTTCTACTTTTATTCTTTCTTCATCTTCTTCTACTTTTTACTTTATTTTTATTCTTTTATATCATTCATTCTCTTCTTTTTCAATTATTTGCTTTTTTCGTTGCCGTAAAGATGCAAGAAGGAGTAAGTATGAAATGAAGTATTAAAGCAAAAATACTCAAAATGATGCTTTAAAATATTGTAAACATTGTAATAACAATATCCAATATATTATTCATATCTTGTTATGATGCAATGAAGAAGAATCAAATATCAAAACATGATTATGAATGTAAACAAATATTTAAACATTTATTAATTACACATTTTAATGAATTTGATTCAATCGATTTTAATAATCCTCCAAAATGTATTAATAATGATGAAATGATTATAACTTACAATAAAGATTTATTACTTAATGAAAATTCTTTCAATGCTAGAAGATAAGATATATATTAACAAAATATGAAAGAAAATAAATGATATATTATAGATGTTGCTATATGCTAAGATATGAATTTAGAGTTAAATTATATTCATAAAATAAACAAGTACAAATAATTACAAGAGAAAATAAGAAATAATAGAGAATTAATATATGTAGAAATAATACTTGTTACATTATCAATAAATTGATTAATTCACAAAGAGTCTATAAGAAGAATAAAAACATTGAAATTACAATTAGACTTTTCCAAAATCATACGAACGATCATAATCAAAAAATATGAAAGACTTAATGTTTTACACATTCAATTCTGGCATCACATTCGAAGAAGAATCTAATGTGAGCGCGTTAGAAATGAACTCTATTTATAACAATAGAGAATAATGAAGAAAATGAAATAAACGCTTCTTAATATTCATAAAATCAAATAATGGATATATCTAATAATTGACCTTTTTATTTTATTAATGATTTGATATTAATGAATAATTCATTTTGTTTTGATATTTTGTAATGATATGAATATTTAAAGAAAGAAAAGAAAAACAGATAAATGAAAGAGAATAAAATCGAGTATCAAGACTAATGTTGAATAGAGTAGAGTATAATAACAAAGTGTTTATTGTCAGAAGTTAGTTTGAATATTTAACATATATTAATGAATATTTGTGCTACTCAAACGTTAGAGTATTGGGAAATATGAACTAATCTCTTTATTTATTCTATTTATTTATATTCCTATTATACTTGTATTAGATTTAACAACTAATATTTAAATAAATTATTTATTCTTTTGTTTAATTAATTCAATGATGATAATATGAATAAGAAGAATAATAATAAAGAAATATAAAATAGAATAATTAATGAAATTTGATAACCAATTAAACTATAAACAATATAAATAATGAAATATAATGAACATAACAATAAGAATATATAAAAGATTTTATATACATATCCTTAATATATTTTAAATTATATTTATACTTATTACATTATTATCTAATTATCATTGTAACTTTATTTTATATTCTTTTCTTTTTATATTAATTATTATTCATTCTTATTGATTAGGAGATCGAATGTGGCACGTCTGAAACACCATACACAAATACTAATACAATTCAAGCTTAGACTCTCCTTGTTATTATCTGGTTACGACGGTACCTTTGAATTAGAAATGTATTATGGAATGCTGCAAATAGTGGAGCAATTTATTATGGTAGAATATTACATTGTTGTAATATAAGCATCTACTAAAGTGTGGGTTAGACTAAAAGAAAATTAAACATAATAATATAGTGGGAATGAAATGTTTCCTTCTCCCATTCATAAAATAAGAAAAATGAAATTCCTTAAAATTAAGGTAGAAAACAAACAAAGACTTAAAAAGGAGAATTAGCAGAAGAAGTTTGAAAGACATTAATAAGAAGAAAGTTCCTGAACCACTAATACTTGAATCTTCTTGTCCTTCTACTACTGTTCCAGTTTGACTATTTTGACTATTTCTATCACTTCTTGTCGAGTTAATTGTTCCTTTACTATTTGGTTCACTTAAAGTTCCACTTTCTTTACTACTCTCCTCTTCTTGAACATTATTTATTAGTGTTGATTCTTTATTTTCATGTGATAATTGTACTAATGATATTGTTTCTTTAGGTACATCAGTTTTACCTTTTAAATATATATCATATCCATTGTATGTTATTTTATGTTTATTTGAATATATTTGTGTGTGTATTACTTTTGTATTGTTAATACTCTCTGTTGCATTACTAATTACAATAAACAATAGAAATATAATCATTGAATGAAATGTATGTAAGTTTTTCTCTTTAAATGTATTCTCTTCTTTTTCTATTATTATCTTTTATTTTTATTTTATTTTATAATGACTCGACTATTTCATTCTTCATTTCATCATATCGATGTATTGTTGTATTTTGAAATTTAACAATAAATAGAATGAAATATTAAATTAAAATTCAATTCATTTTTGTAATTTATTCAACAAAATTAAATAAACATTCAATTTAATAAATAAATCATAAACAATAACAACAACAATGAATGAATAATAATTTCAATTCATAATTCAAATCATTATTATTTTAAGAATATATTCATCATTTATTGATTGTTTATTTTAATGTGTTTCTTATTCAGACTTTATCATAAAATGATTCAAATGAATAAAACAAGAATAAGAATAAATAGTAATAACATAAACAAATA